CAAAGATGTTAGAATTGTGTCGATGTCCCAATATTTCTGGACCTGACTGTATGCAAAAACAGTATTAGTCTTTCTAGATTGTTCTGCCCCAACAATTTGCTATTTGTGGTCACATAGGAATTTTTGTTTGTTTATGTGTGTGATATTTTTTATAGCATTCAAACAGAAGTTTCTGCTTGAAGTCTGGAAGGATAAAATCCAGTATTAGCAATATGCAGGATTTCATAGCAAGAAAGTTAATAAGAAAAGTTCAAGACAGGTGGAAGTCTTAAAAAATGGTCTTATATGTTAAAATTAAAAAAAAAAAATCCAAGGGAAAAAAATAGGGAAATAATAGAAGCCAGTGTAGCTGCATTATTTCAGGTAAGACTATCTGAAAATAAAACAAACTAGACCCCAAGAAAGTGTACATACAAATACCCCAGAGCATAAAGGTGTCAGAAGGACTACTGAGAATGTATGTTGAGAAAGGGGGGGGGGGAATCAATTTATTTTCAGAATAAAAGGAAGAGAAAAGAATCAGTATACCAGCTGCTCAGTGACAGTGGTAAAATACTAACAGGTAATGAAAAATGGCTCATTTTTCTCTATCAAGAGGATATGTGTGCCACTCCACAGTAGTGAAAGGATTGATAGGGATTTGGGGAACCTCAGCTTAAAAAAGGATTCAAAGTTCAAAGAAGGGCAACAAGAAGAATCAAAAGCCTGGAAATTAAGTCACTTAAGGAGAAAATGAGCAAATGAGTATGTTCAGTTTTGAGAAGAGAACACTGAGCAGGAATATGTTAGCATCCTTTTGATTCCTGAAAGGATTTTATATAAAATAGACAGTCTGCAGTTAAAGCACATTGTGTTTGTTTCATTCCAAATCCATTGTGGTGGTGTATAGAGCCAAAGATGTTAGAATTGTGTCGATCAATTGATGATGAATGAATATGAAATTATAATTTTTAGTTACAAGAAGACAGATATCAGTTGAATGTAAGGTAATACTTTTTAACAGTAAAGCAATTCAGTAGGGGAAACAATTGACTAGGGAGGTGGTGAACTTCATTTTTCTGAATATGTTCAAGACTGGATAGCCATTAGGCAGGGATTTCTTAATTTGGATTCTCTCACTGAACTTAAATAGCTTCTTCCAGTTCCCTGATCCTAGGTCCAATTTCTTCAATTTCAATTGGGCCCTCAGTAATCATGCGGAACTTGGGGAGAATCTCTTTGAGCAAATTTGCAAAGGAATTATGACACTCAATTATGGCACTCTAAAAACTGATTATCTAGTACAGAATCCTTGTAATGAACTCCTTGTTTTCTTTTCCTACCTTCCTGAATTTCCCTTTCCTCATAGTTAATTGACCAGCTTTTTCCTATGATATAATTTGGAAATAACTTTTTTTTCCTCCCATTTCCTACTTTTCATAGCTTCAGGATTAAGAACACCCATGGCAGTACCATGCCCTTATCCTGCCCCATTTGGAATAGTACCCCATGCTGGAATGAATGGTGAACTGACCAGTCCTGGAGCTGCATATGCGGGTTTGCATAACATCTCTCCTCAGATGAGTGCAGCTGCAGCAGCAGCAGCTGCTGCTGCTGCCTATGGAAGATCTCCAGTGGTAAGTGTCTTGTATTTTATATGACAGTGAATGATGATTAGGCTGGGAGGAGCTTGTTTTCAATAAGGCAATGGCTTATAAAGTACGAATCAGGTCTCACTAGACATCATAATCAGTTGCTGGGGGAAATCTGAAGTTTTCCTTGGGGAATGGAACTTATTTGGCAACTTTTAGGATAATGGTTGCTGACCTTATTCTCTGTGTTAGAGACAATCTATATCAATACAGCACTTTGGACATTACAATGTCTTCATTTCAAAGACTGCAATTCAGAAGTATATTTGGTAGGGGAATGAACTGTGGAATATTTGTCTAGATTTCTCTGCCATCAATATATTGTGATCTCATGAGGTTCCACTTCTCAACTTTTGTGCTTACCTATGGATTGAATAAGAGGGGGGGGGAAAGTGTACGTTGCATTCTTCTTAGTCAAATTATGAGGGTTTTGAATAGCTGTATGTTTCAAGTAGGAAGACAGTTATATTCAGTGCTATCTTTGAAGAATTGCTGATAGACCAAAACGTAGCTGCCGTACTACTAACTTGGATTGGTCATATAGAATGCTTAAGAGCTCCATTAGAATCTTTGCTTTTCTGCACATAATTGAAAGTATTGGTCATTATCCATAAGAATCACAGACCTTGCAGATGTATGGGCCATCCTATACATATACATTCTTTTCAGCTTGCAGATCTTCATGATGTGGGCAGGGTATATGGAGAGATAAGAACTACCAGCTATTTCTTTCACCCTTGTCTCTCTTGACTGAACAGATTGGCCAGGATAGGGCTGACTAATGGTTAAGGGAAATGATGGGTGCCTCCTTGAGTGTGGGATGTGTTCCCACCTGCTTAAAGAAGGCAGTTATTACATCTTTATTGAAAAAGCCCTCCCTTGAACTAGAAGATATTCTAATTATAGGCCAATTTCAGACATTTCATTCCTGGGTAGGATGAATGGGAAACTTGTGACCTTGCAGCTCCAGGTCTATTTGAATAACTGATTATATAAGCAGAATTTTATATAATAATAGTAATAATAACAACAACCATAGTGCACAACACATAATAGCTGCTGGGAGTTGTTGTAGTTCAGCAATGCCAGAGATCTTCAGGTTTCCCACCCCTCCCTTAATAGCTCTTTGCAGTTTAGGAGCTGGATACTCAAAATGACACTTTCTGTGGCATCAACCAGTCTTTATATTAAGATCTTTCTCAGGTACCATTATCCAGATGTATCTAAGGCAAGATGGCTGGTGACACAGGGCCTTCCTCTTACTTGTGACACTTCCCATAGAGGCTCATCAAGTTTTCCAGGCATCAGACAAATACTGTGCCATTTTTTCCCAAGGGTTTTATAATTTTATAATTTTATAATTTATAATTTCCGTTAATCTTTTCAGGGTAGCTTTCTACTGCCATCTACCATTTTATAATTGATGTTTTAAAGGACTATCTTCAGAGGCACTGTGTCTCTGAATATTATTTGATGAGGTCGAAAGCTTCTCTAAAGCAAATGAGTGGCTAGTTTTAAAAACAGGCTGTTGAACTGTGGACCTTGGCATGGTCCAGTATGGTTCTTAATCTTTGTAGAAGGCTCTCCATAGTAACGTTTGATGTAAGACCAAAAGGCAGCACTCCAGCATTTCCCATTAATGCTTAAAACTTTCTTTGTTCTGTTTGTGGGAAAACTCCAGGTTGGTTTTGATCCACATCATCATATGCGAGTCCCAGGCATTCCTCCGAATCTGACAGGCATCCCAGGAGGAAAACCGTGAGTATTAAACATACTAACTCAATCATATTATTAAGCTTTTGTTCCTTTTGCTTCCTCTGTGATACTGAATTCCATGTGTGGCAGAGGGTGGTTAATCCTCCTTTTAATCTTAAAAGCCTATTTGGCAGTTTTTCCTGTAGGTGACTATGTGCCAAGGGTATCAGATGCTGTGGATAAAAGGGGGCGTAGGGAAAGGGTTATGCTTCTGCCATGGGACATGCTGGACTAAGGTAACTCTGCTTGGCATGGAAAGACAAATTACAAAAGGCTCTGTGGTGTGCATGTCTTTAGTATTCTGCCCCTCTGTTTTAAAAATGATTCCTTTGTGCACAAAAGAAGCCCTGCAATGAAGTGCAGACTTACTGGATTCCATAAATAGTATCGCACAAAAGAACACTGAAATATTCTGTTTGACTGAAAGTACTGAAAGAGAATTACAATATCATAGTGTACAAATGGATCCTTGGGGAAATTGACCAGAGAAGGTGACCTACTATAACTAGTTTGGCTCATTGAGAAAAATAATTATAGAAATAATATGGAATTTTCACCTACTTTACTTTTCAGCAAAAGAGAATTACACAGCAAATCCAGCACATTTATTTGTGGTGGTACAATCTTCCTGTGAAAGCAAGCAGCAACAACAAAAAAGCCCAGTAAGACTGGAGAGTGACTTGACCAGTTTTATTATGGGTGTAGGGGTGATCATATATAGAAAAGGGACTGATATTTCAACATAAATATATTTAGTTGAGCTATCAAAATGATACCATTCATGAAATATTAGAATTACCATGTTCAGTAGGTAACTTAGCACTTAGATCCTTTATAAGTAGAAGTTTGGCAGCCAGGGTGAGTAGTTTAATCTCCTTGAATTCTTGCCTTTGTAGCTTAAGTCCTTTCAGATATTTTCTATAATGTGATTACATTTTCAATCACTAAGCACACTATATGATAGTATTTATTTATGTGAAAATGAAGAACAGGCAATGTAATACCCTCCAGCTGTTTTGGACTGCAGTTGATATTATCTCCAGCCAGTATGACCAATGGTTGCAGTTGATAGTTTTAATCCAAAACTTCTACACAGCTCTAAGTACCATTTCTTTGATATATTTTAAATAAGTTTACTCTTTTTTTGCTGAATAAAGGAAACAGGTTCTTGTTTCAAGGAAGAGATTTGTGAGCTATTTTCAGTATTCTAAATTAGATTTCCATGTGGACATTACATCTATTAGCTATACATTTGCTTGCAGTATGCTCTAGATCAACTCCAGTAAAGTTTTATCTAAGGACTTCAACACGTTACACCTTAAGCAAAGCAATTTTAAGCACTGGAATGCTCTCTTCCTGGCAGAGCATTTGCAGAAAGTTGTTGATAAGTTATTTGCAGGTGGCATAACTGCCAGTCATATAATGTCCTCCTTCTGGTGAAACATACAATTTCCATGACTGCTCAGAATTCCTTCTTTAGTTCCAGCCAAAATATAACTACTTGATATCCACTCAGCAACAACCCAAAAGAAAACAGCATAATGTTATGTATTTTACAAATTGTGCATTAGCATTAACCATGTTTGCTAAGTTTCCATTGGCCAGTAGATGAGTAATTAAAGCAGGATTTCTCTCTGCTTACTCTAGGGCGTACTCATTTCATGTAAGTGCTGATGGTCAGATGCAGCCCGTACCTTTCCCTCCTGATGCCCTCATTGGGCCAGGAATTCCACGGCATGCTCGGCAGATTAACACCCTAAACCATGGAGAAGTGGTGTGTGCAGTTACTATTAGCAACCCAACAAGACACGTGTACACTGGTGGAAAAGGATGTGTCAAGGTCTGGGATATCAGTCATCCAGGAAACAAAAGTCCTGTCTCTCAGCTGGATTGTTTGGTGAGTAAAGATGACAAGAAATCTTCAGTGGGGTGCCCTATGAGAATTGTAGCCATAGAAGGATATCTGTGGTATATGTAAATAATTCAGTGGCTGTGATGTGCAACTTCTGTAGATATAAGTGGCCAGAATTATTATGCTTTACCTGTTTATTAATTCTTTAACCACTTCTTATAAACTGTGGGATTTAATGAATGTTAAAAGGACCCCTCCATTTTTTAACAGAAGTGTCATGCTTAACAATATTGGTTACGTGTCTGAAGTTAGGCAATGTACTTAAATTGAGAGGTAGAAGGATCCTTGTTTACAAATGCAACCATTTTCCTCATGCAATGGGACCTTCTCCTAACATTTGCACTGGAGAATTGCACTGAAGAATTCCCAGTCCTTTGGGACAGATTTTTAAAGGTTCATTGGGTATGCCATTGACAGAAACCAGTGTGACAGTAGGAGAGCTTAACTAGATATACCATTAAACCTAACTAGCTAGAAGTAAGATTTTAATTCCATACTCTTCAATTTAAAGCTTGATCCACTACACTTCAGTAGGTCTGTACCTTTTGGAAGATGAAGAAACAATTCCCTGTGTTTTTTTCATCTTCAAATAAGAATCATCCAAATCCAAATGTCAGTACTCTTCTCCTACACTGAGACAAGGTAAAACTCCCACAATAGACAGGAGAATATTAATTCTGTCTAATAACTAGAACCCCAATTGTGAGCTTTTCCTTTGTCATTTTCCTATTCATAATGCATTGTTGTTTTTGTTGAAAACACTGCCAAATGAAAGTATGCTGAACTCTAGGAGTAGATTATGAAAGGAACAGGTGGACCTTGTTACTAGCAGTCTCATCCATGGTTTCATGTATCTGCAGCTGTTAATTATAGACCAGAACTCATTATCTGTATTAAACAATTAAACTTATATTTGGTTTTTGACATGCTGTTCTGACATCTCTCATTTTGCACATTTGCAGAAATCTGCGTCCAACCTCCACCCCCACAATTTCCCAGTGATCCCAGTGATCTGCAGCCTTCTGACCTTATGTTATCCTCCTCTTAATATTATTTCCTCCACAGTGAAAGTGAACAAATGCATAGCAGAGAGCTGAAATGAAGTGAGGGGCAAATCTCAGCACAAAGTTTTGAGAGAGAATATGAAACTCTCTCGACTCTTAATAGATCTTAGCATCAAGTTCAAAAGGCAGAGAGAGGGTGGGGAGGGTATTTTCCAGGGCTCCAGAACCAAATCTTTCTGATTCCCATAGATTCAGTGTTTTGTTATTTGAGGTTTCATGATCCATAGATGTATGTTGATTGTAACCTCTCTGAATAATGAGATCCATCAGTATTTACCAGATCACTTTTGCAGCGAGCATTCAGATATTTGCAACTTATTGGTAGTGGGGACAGATTTTATAAAGATAACTTTTTGCTGAGAATGATGGCTGTTTTTTAAACAAAAACAAAGCATTGTTTCAGGTGGTTTTTTAGCCATGCATTCAAATGGTTTGTGAGCTCATTAAAACCAAGAGGGAATACAGTAATTTTATAGATTTCTGCTTCATTTTATTATGTTTTTCTTTCTTCTGAGTAATCTCTTGGTGCTTTCTATGTCTACAGAACAGAGATAACTACATCCGCTCCTGCAGATTACTCCCAGATGGCCGCACCCTGATTGTTGGTGGGGAAGCCAGCACGTTATCCATTTGGGACCTAGCAGCCCCAACTCCACGCATTAAAGCAGAGCTGACATCCTCAGCTCCTGCCTGCTATGCTCTAGCAATTAGCCCAGATTCCAAAGTGTGCTTCTCTTGCTGTAGCGATGGGAACATTGCAGTATGGGATCTGCATAATCAGACCCTGGTCAGGTAGGTCAGTCAAACTGGATTATAAAGCATTAGTAAACTTGTTGAAAGGAGCCGTCTTTTTCCCTCAGTGTTGCCATGTTATGAAGTTGCTTAAAGTGCCTTAAGTTTCAGAATATTTCTCCCATCTTTGATATGCCATTTTTAGGCAGAGAAGAGTCATAGGGCCTGTTGTGTGCCTAGAACCTTTTCATTCTATCATGGAAGAAATTCATAAGCAAATTGTTATTTCCCCAACAGAAACCATTGCCAGCTCTCTCAACCTTAAGCTGAGCTCAAGTTTGTATGTCTGTCTGTCACCTGGCACTGAAGAGCTAGATTTCTGATTGGTGCGGGAATCTGTTGATTTTTAAAATTCATGGTATGCCTCAGGGCACCCACTAGAATGTCAGTTTTATGTAGATACTGTAGGGAGATGAAAATAAAACTATGTCTTTGTAACTGGATAAGGAAGAACTAGATGGCAATAGAAGATATATGCTTGCAGATGGTAATGACCGTGTGGATATGATTTTGGGCTCCTGCCAAAAAGTGTCACTAGTATACCAGCCATTTGTGTTTTTATTCTTTTCTAAAATCCATCGTTGCCTTTGTTGTTTCTTCTTTGTCTCATTATGAGTCCTGGGTGTGGGGGTGAGGGAAGAAATGTTATGTCTGAATTTAATTTGCTCCTGAGATCTGAGGGCAGGGCAGGTAGTAAACCTAATTAAATAGAGAGAGCGGTTTGAGTAGCCCCAGGCTGGGAATTCACAGAGATATATTGGTTTGCAGTTATCTCTAGTGGAAAGGAAAACTAAATGAAAACGAATAGCCTGTGCAGAATCTAAAGAATAATTCTCTGTGAAAGCATGAGATGTCATCAGCTCATAACCAAATTGAGAATATTCTGTATTAAAACCACTTTGAAGTCCTGTTCAGACATTCACAAAGGCTGTGGGATCAACTGTGTGGAAAGAAAGAGAGAAAAGTGCTTGCTCCATCTCCCTCTTCTTTTCAACCTTTGAGTGTAGAGGGTATCTTTGAGTAGCAAGATGCCCTTTCTGTTTTAGGGTCCTGGAAAACCAGGGTTGTAAATATCAGAGAGCCCCCATGTCCCCTAGGCGTGAAGGGTGACATGGATCGCAACAAATGATAGAGTTAATGATCTGTCCCCACTCTCATGCAGAGTGTACATGCTTTATCAATGATTGAAGGTGGCTTAAGAATCTTGGTGGTGTTTTGTTTTGTTCTTTAAATAGAGAGCTGGTTTTGAATGTCCTAACACCTTGAAAAAAAGGGTCTCACAGGGATAGAAGACATGGTCCTGGGTATATACTAAGCTCTATTTGATTATATTCCCCCCAAATCATAATTGGAACACTTTTTTAATTATATTGGTCTCTTTAGAAAAAATATCAGAGTAAGAGACATTATTTTATTGAAACAATTAACATTCAAAAAGCTGGAAACGTAGGGCTTTTTATTACACAGAACTCTTCTTCAAATATAAGCCTTTATTTATTAATTTGTTTATTACTGGTATTTCTATGCTGCTCTACTCCGGACTTTAGAATTGTAGCAGATTAATCTTATAATGTAATAAAACATATAGCCTTTCTAAGTCCCTTTGAAAATACCCATCCTCACTGCATTAATCCTTTTGAAAATGTTCCTTCCTTTGTAGTCTTAGTCTGTATATGTGTGAAAGAGAATTCAGAAAGGTGCTTCCAGCATTTTAAAATTCAGTAGATATCCTTCTCCCCTTCAAGAAATCATTGCCTTGCTTTCTCTATTATTTTGGGAGCACTTAAAAATTAGCATGGAAGCTTTTTAAATGTTTCGGCAGAAAACATTTTTCCAAAGTGATTGTACCCCAACTTGGCGTATTTAGGCAATTCCAGGGCCACACAGATGGAGCCAGCTGCATTGACATTTCTAATGATGGCACTAAGCTCTGGACCGGAGGCTTGGACAATACAGTGAGATCCTGGGACCTGAGGGAAGGGAGGCAGCTACAGCAGCATGACTTCACATCCCAGGTACTCTTCTACAGAATCCGTGATGTATGAAAGTCATTGTTGTCTTCAGTTTTGCTTTCTGCATTCTTTTAGTAGATTGGGGCAAGAAGGGAAGTATTTTTTTCAAACATTGTTGATTTAGGTAGATAATAGTTCTTCCTTTATCCCCAAGATGTAGTCGAGTCTTATTCACAAACTGCAACTGTCAGACTGAAGGAGTCCTCCAGATGATCATGAGTCCTTTCTGTAGAACTTATTCCAAGATAATTTCTTTGAAAATATTATTTCAGTCCATTTAAAAACATTTAATATATGTTACCCAGCATTAATTGGGTTTAGTTATAGGAGCTGATTGTCTTGATCTATTGCAGTAATGCCATCTTTTTAAAGAAAACTGTAGATGGATTTTTATTTTGTTTTGTTTTTTGTCTTTCAAAAAATAGTAATTATGTCATCAAGTATTTAAGTCATAATCTGTATGCATTTATAATTCCAGATCTTCTCACTGGGCTATTGCCCTACTGGAGAATGGTTGGCAGTAGGGATGGAGAACAGCAATGTTGAAGTGCTGCATGTCACAAAACCAGACAAATATCAGCTACATCTTCATGAGAGTTGTGTGTTATCCCTTAAATTTGCCCATTGTGGTAAGCAATTTAGTATATGCTAGCTTTATCTTCTGTTTGCCAAATATATTTCCAATAAAAACAGAAAAGGGAAAGCTAGATTTTGTATGTGCGATTGCATGTTTGTAAAATGTTGGTCCAGTTTGACCAGAAGAAAACAGAAATGGAGGCAGGGAGATAAGAGGATGAAAGAGGAGTTTTGCTGATATGGAAGTAATCAATTTCCTCTAATTATAATACAAAATATGTTTTCAGGCAAATGGTTTGTAAGCACTGGAAAGGATAATCTTCTGAATGCATGGAGAACACCTTATGGAGCCAGTATATTTCAGGTAAAAATCATTACCCAATCCCTGTCCCTTCAGCCCCCAAATCAAGTACACCTAGCCATCCAGCATAGAACAGTTCAGGAAGGAGAAATGGAGGAGGAGAATATGAATGTTCTCTGGGCAGATTTGAGTGGTGGGCTGTTATCATGAAACTTGAGTTTTAAGTGTTTGGTTTTAGCTTAGGCCGGATAATTTGCACATCACTGGACCAAATCTGCTCTAAGTAGTGTCGCAGTATTCATCCTTTGAGATCATTATATAACATTTTAAAGCCTTGCTGCTTATACACCTTTTGTTTTACGCTGCATCCATTTCCAACCCCTATGTCGAAATAACTGTGAAAGAGTAATAATGGTTGTTTTTCTTCCACGCTGTTACAAAGCTACAAAATGGAATCTTTGTAGCAATCTGAACTTTTTGTTGTGGGCATACATGTGTATAAACATGCATACACGTCGTATAACAACAGTATTATAATAAGGATAATGCTGTAGTAGGAGAAGTCCATCAAATACTGTACAAAACAGTAGAAACTATAAAAGAGGAGCAAGCCACACAGTTCACTAGGGAGAATTTAAAGGTATTCTTGGTAACTTTGTGTAGTCATCTGAAGCCAGGTGTGGACACTTCATTAGTTTGTCTCAGAAGCCTTTCCTCCATGCATAAGCATGTTTCCCACTGTTTTCCTGACACCAAGGTTGGTTAGCGTTACCTGTCTGTTTCTTGTTTTGTTACTGTGGAGTTTGGAATTCCTCTTCAGCATTCCTAAGCATTCCCTTTACCCCACTCTGTCTGCCTTTTGCATTTTTCACATGCCACACCTCTATTTGGTTTCAGGCATATTTCCCACAATCAGGCAGCAAAACCACAATTGGCTGACATGACCACTGTGGCCTAATTGTTCTCACTGTGATGCCCGAATGCAAGCTAGGTTCCAAGTTTTTCTGCACTGCATGAAGTGTGTGACTGATTTTTCAGCTAAAAGTAGGCTTTGAACTGTATTTAAGCAAACCAAACCATTCATTTTCTATCACAAACTGCCTACTATGTGGGCTGCTTTTAGACATCTGGTTATCCCAATTGGTTATGAATAACATTAGGTCACTTCTGTTTTATTTAAACTCTTCAAGGCTGCAAGAAAGAAAATAATGCTGTCTGTGTAACAAGTGTGTTTTGTTGATTTTAATCTCTAGAGAAGAGTACATGTATGCCAAGGACAACCTTATTATTCTCTCAAGCCTGGAGAGTTAACTGCAATTAAGTTTGAAGATGCACAGACTGGAGAATAATATCAGACAGGAAGCAGAAATATATAATTGAACCATCCTGTAATTGTTTTATTTCTTAAAAGGAACTAATTTACTATTTCATCTGATTTATGCAGAGAATGGTTAACACTCACTTTTTTCTTCTTCTTTTAGTCCAAAGAGTCATCTTCTGTACTTAGCTGTGATATCTCTGTGGATGACAAATACATTGTCACTGGCTCTGGGGACAAGAAGGCTACAGTCTATGAAGTTATTTATTAGAGACAAATCTGAATGAAAACAGTACTCCTCCTAGTAGCACTTTGCTGTATATTACTTTTATTTTTCTGTTTCCCAAACTGAGGGATGAAAATGTTCAACACAGTTGTGGAATTTTCCCACTAGACTTGCTATTTAATAGCAAGCATTCATTAAGAACATGTAATACCAAATCTTCAGCTATCTACTTGGAAGAAGATGGAATAAGCATACTTAACAGGGAACTGACTCTTTTAATTATGTAACATAGCTGTAATGTATTTATTTTGTTAAAGAAAACTTTCTAACAAGGAACTGACTAAATAAAGTAGTCTGCGTCTGCCTTGGATTTGAAGGTGCGTTGCATTCTTGATGACTATATTGTTGGGATGTGCGTGACTGTTGGGAAGTAAAGGGCAATTACATTTTTTTTTTTGCTGACTATGTATATCTACATAAATTATGCAGATGTTATTTGAGCCAAGAGTTTCATTAAAGTCATATAGTTTAAAAAGAATGCAGTACTACAAATGGCAATGACCTGGTTCATATTCGCCTCTAGGAATATGAAATATGAAACACGGTGGAAAAACAGGATCTTTTCTCCATTACTCATCATGCCACTCCAATATGAATGGTCATAATATCTGAACAGAATAAGGACATTTCAGTAACGATAGGCCCAGCTCCCAGACTATGGCTTTCTCCAGAAATAATACTAATCTATCATTAAGTGTTGCATGCATGAACCTTCAGAAAATCACAGCCTCTTTCTGTGGTGTATGCAATGAAATGAAAAGCATTCATTTTCATTATAAATAAAATATGGATACTTACTATGTCTGCTAAGACAAACTGGTTAATATTAAATGGGACTTAGAAAAAAAAAACATACTTCAAATCATGGTCTGCAGTCTTGAGTTTATTTCTCTTAAACTAGCTTTCCTCAACTTCAGGCTGTTCAGCTGTTTTGGACTTACTTACAACTGTCCCAGCCAATATAGCCAATAATCAAGAATGAGAGAAGCTGTATAAAACAGAAAACGTTTTTGTTCTCCTTGCAGCTGCATTAGACTAAAAGGGAAGGGGAAGCACACATATCCAAGGTTTAGCCAAGTTTATTCCCACAGCATAGTATTATCCAACCTGGACACTGCCCAGATGAGTAGACTTTCAGCTTCCAGAATTCCCAGCCATTGCTTACGATAAAGTTTATACATCTGGAGTGAACTCAGGTCAGGGAAGGATGCCATAGCACCAAACTGTAATTGAGGGTTATGTCTGAAAGCAGGCAATAATGGACAACAAATCTATAGATTTGATCAATATACACTGCATTGTATTATCTCCTCCTTTTTGCAAAACATTATGCCTATATGTGAACATAGCAGGCTAAGGTATCCATCGAAAATGAGAAGGGAGTAAAATCCTCTTTCACCATGTTGTATAGCCTCTACTCATCAGTAAGTTTTCTTTAATCAGACCACTCTTACTATTTAAGCCTAAATTGTCAGTCACTTAAATTTTCTTGGATGGTTTGGTATCCTAACTATATCCTTATGATGTTTAGAAATCATTTGGGTAGCTCAGATAATATCAGTTTCTGATTCAAATGAGTATTTCCTTAAGTTCTGGTGTTTACAATGTCTCTTAACATTGTTAAGAGTGTGTGCTCTGTTCTGAGAGGCAGCTGCATACAGAGGAGAGTGGAATCATGCATGCTTTCTTGGGCACCATATTTTGAGCAAATTCAGTAACTTCATATTTCTAATTGAAAATTAAATGCAAGAAATTGTGAAAATACAAGCCAAAACCAGCTACTCTTAACGGTTATTTTAAGCAGCCATTTTACAGTGTTTTGTAAACCTCCTGTATGTAATGTTTATACTTTGAGACCTTTAAGTAAAGTGCATTGCTCAGAATTTTTAATATCACTTTTATTTTGTATATTTCAGAGAGAAGTACAATAATGTGTCTCAAAGATCATCTTCATTCTTTCTGGATGTTTTTGCTACATTTCTTTGAAAAGAAAGATGTGCATCTTTGGGCAATTTTGCAGTTACAAAGATTACAGAAAAAAATATTTGATACATTCATTGGAGATGGCACTGAGAAGGGAATGGATTCCTACATGAATACAAACTATAAAAGTGAGAACCTCAGAGTTAGAATTTAGAAGAGCACTCATTCTGAAGTGCAGAACAAAATGGATTTTTACTCAGAGAAGGACTTGCTTTATTTACCGCCAGTTCTATCCAAGTCTTAGTTGAACGTCCCTGAAATGGACGCAGGCTGAGCCATTGTGCCAGAAACCATTGTGTTATCTTTTTATGTTGTTGTTGTTGCTGTTAAACTATGACCTGTGACATATTCTTTTTGAATGCTTTAAAAAAAAAATCTTTAAGTCTGTGGATCTGCTGATGTACAGTGCCTTTGCTGCTATGGATCAAAATCAAAAGAACTGTGTAGATAAACCTTTATTGTGTAAGTAGAAAATTACTTAATTTCATACTAGAAATGGGTTAATGCTGCAAGTTAAAATGGACTGTTCATTGAAGTTCCAAATGTGGTAGCAAATAATAATATTAATAATAATAATAATAATGTGTTAAGTGCTCAGTGTTTGATGTTATTAACAGTTTCGTAATACTCTACAGTGTAGAAAGATTTTGATACTAAACTGTGTCATTGTACATAGTTCTAATGCATTGTATTGACCACAAGTACTTCTATAATGGTAGATTATTGTTTGTGCATTCAAACTTTTAAGCATTAAACATAAGTAACTTGTAAGAAAAGTTTTTTTTTCTATTTTTTCCTTCTTTTGTGTGATGCAATATGAAACCATCAAACAGATGTTACTGCTTTTTTAACTTACTCTAAGAACACGTGATGTATGTTAAAAGATATTTCCCATTCCATTTTCTTTTCTGAATGAGTTTATTAAACAAAAACATTCTGTGATTATATGAAGTGAATTATTTGGCAACTTTGTAGATGTAAGTGCCAGGTATGATTTCAGCAGCGACATTTGGTTTCCATTAATATATCTTTCTTCCTATAGTACAGCCAAAGTGACTTGTTTTGCACATGGCAGTAAACCACAATGTGTTTGGTTTTTAACTAAGGGTGGCATGTGAGCCAACCCATTCTGATTTGTTCAACAAATCACTGTTAGAAAAAAACTCATAGTTTTCTATTTAGCCTGTAGAAAGACAAGATTTTTTTCCCAGCCCATGAATGTGGTAGGTGTGTGCCATTATGTTACATAAGCTGAAAAGAACTGAAGTTGCTGTTAAAAAAACCCAAATGGATGGGAGGTATAAACAATTAGAGATATAGGTGCTGAAGAGCATGGAAACATTTGAAGATTATCCATATTTAGTAGTGTTGAATGGTGCTTCAGATTTGAAGGAAACAAACAAACAAAAAAATGCTTCCAAGAGTGCTGGGCATTAATATGGCAGCTGTCAGCAGCTCCTTAAATAGCTGCATCTTTTCCCAGGTTCACATGGCTGCCCTCCATGCTGCAACATAATCCCAAGAAAAGACATAATTGGTTTAAGTTTCTATGTGTGTGCCCACATGTGCCCATTTTTCTCTCTTCAAATCTAAAGCAATACACGTATTTAGGGAGGGACTGGTTACCTGATGAATTTTAATCCTTTTTATATTGCTTAAATGGGATTTTTTTTTTGGTCTTTCTTTGTTATCTCTTCTCCCTACCTCATCTCCATCAAATTCTGTTTCCTTCTTTCTCTTTTCTTCCCTTCCCTTCCCTTCCCTTCCCAGTGCAGCTACACCTTCCCCTTCCTCAGTCTCTATCCTGGTCTTCCATCACCCCCCTTTTGTTTTTGCTGTTTCTGCTAAAGGGAGGGAATATAAATGTGTGTGTGTGTGTGTGTACTTGTGCATGTGGGAGAATGGTTGGTATATGTGGATTGGGTAGATTTATAAACAAAATTTTGATCCAAAGTTATTAACTACATTTTTTCCTAGCGCTGCCCTTTGGGTGGCTTCTGGCAAGAAAGATATGCATACATATACATTTATTGGGGAGGGGTATATCTCCAGTACAGCTAAGCCACAGAGTTATAGTCCTTCTCTACAAGTACAATTTTCAAAGCTCTAGTTGTGTTAAGATAAATTAGGAGCATCTAACAGAAGCTTTCCATGTGTTTTTTTATGATATTACCAAAAAGGCATTACTAAACCTAAATATAAGCCTGATTTTGGCTTATGATATAAATACATCTTTGCTCATGAAAGCTTGCTTTTGTAGTTTTATGAATAGATTAGAGAGCAGATCATATTCCAGTGTATGTTATCCTTAGATATCCAAGGCCATCATGGATGGGGAGTTTCAGAAGTCAACACAGCAAGAGGCCTCCAAAGCTGTTTTATACATTTAGGCCCTCCAGGGTTTTATTCATATGGGAAGCCCTTCCTTCTAATTGGAGCACTCAACCTAGGTGGAAAATGTTGGGGATAAAGTGCTTCTATAAGTGTTTCACTTCATCTGGCAACTGTTCAGTAAATTTCAGTGCTGTTGAAGTGGAACATTCAAGTATGGCATGATCATCATAGTATACTCATTCAGTGGCTTCCATTGCATGCTGAATAGAAAAATATCCCACTGGATATTTTAGGATTGCACTAATCAATTCTCAGTGAGATGAGATCTGATCACTGTTGCCATCTCACCTTGCTGCCGATTTTACTGAAGATAAAGTTAAAGCTTGATCATAAAATTATCCTTCAAATTGTTTTCTTCTCAGCATTTCTTCTGCGGTCATGGTTTCAAGTGGTCTTCTATAGGAACAGCACATGCTACTGGCTGGATACCATTTGGTAGTTGTTATTTGCTCATGTATATTTTTATCTGAGGTATATTTATATCTTTAATCTTATACGAGATTTTGAAAAATAATGCATAATCACAATTGGAATTCTAGCACAAATGAATTGCCAAAAATTCATATTCTTTGGGATGGATTAAGAAGTTGTCATCCTTATTTGTATAAAGGGTTGTGCACTAAGATTTTAAGGGTTTGGTGACTCACTCCTGCTTATGTAATATAGTTTGGGGCAACAACAGAAGCATTCTGAAATAACGGGCACAATGGTGACTGATTCTTTAAGCTTCCCTTGTTCCACAGTGTGTCCCCTTTGTGTTTAACAGGAGAGATGAAGCATGAAAAAATATGCTACAGAAGTTTCTCTTTCACAAGCTCTTAAATTATGTATCTGCCACATTTGCTTTTGAACCAAAAGTTTCTTAACCTAACCTTTGAGACTTCACGTTTGGAATATAGTCTCTCTGCTTCACAGTATTTTTTTTTTTTTCAGTGTCAAACCCAATAAATGTTTTTACTTTTATCAAATGATTTTCTGTCCTGGATACAAGGAAACAGTATTACTGTGTCTTTTTTATTATTAAAAAAGGTGTAGTCTGACATTTACAACATGTCCATAAAACTGCTGTTGACTGCACTAAAGCATGTCTGTCATTCACTTGGTTTCATATAGATTGAGTCAAAAAAATGTTGCTATTTTTCCCAGTCCTTATAAAACTATTGTGCTTTTTGTAGAGACCAAGAGGAATATCTTGCTAGTGAAACTGAGCATTTTCAAATTTCTCAAAGTAGGAATGTTAGGAGGAGATAAGAATTTCCCAGAATATTATGTTATCAATTTGAATAGTACCTACTGAAAAGTTGAAGCAAAATTTAAGGGGAAGCTATTTTGGGCAAACAAATGTGGGGCACTATTACAATTACAGTATGGCATTCTATATAAGTAGTAAAGGCTATGAATTGTCATTTTTTCCCCCTGAAAGATAAACTGTGGGCGACTTCGGTGTAGGGTTGTGTGTGTGTGTATTCTAAATTGTATGTGTGTGCACGTGTGTGTGCACAGACTCAGAATTGTTTTGTGGGGAAGTATTCATCCGATTAAATAAGTGGTTTTCAAGAATAAGTCCAGGATATGAATTTTCTATATTGGGGAATGAAACAAAATTCAAGGCTTAATAAAAATAGAAAGGAAATTGGGGGGGGGGAATGACACTAAGTATAGTATCTTAAAAATACTTATTTGATGACAATCAGTAATTGCTAAAAGCATCTTGTGGGAACCATGTAGCTTCTCAAGAGTGTTATCTGTGTAATTTTACCCATACTAAAGTGTCTGAAGTAGGCTGAATTGCTACACTGTGCCTTCTTTGGGAGCAGGAAGTGGGTAGCATCTAAGCTCAGTTACAAAGAGAAAGGCTAATTTATTTATTTCTGAAGATGGGTCCCTATACTTGTGGAAAAGTGCCTTTTTAATGCCTCTCTTCCATTATGTTCCCAAAATTATGGGTCGCTTTGAAAAATTAGATACGTAATAAAATAATACACAACCATTCTACTAATGGGTAAAATACTGATAGAGACTCCTTTAGAATTAAGTTTCTCTTCCTGTGGAGAGCAGGATTTTGTATAATTAAAATCAAACCATGCTATATGATTCTCATCCTAAACAGACTTCCTGGTAGCCTACCTTTGCATTTGGGTGATTGGAAGTGAAGTGAAAGGCTCTGTCAGGCTGATGGACAAGTGGAAGCAAAGTGAAAGCAAAAAAAAACAAACTTTTTTTTCTTAGGCCCATAAAATATTATTCCTAAATATGTATTGCTCATGTTCTGTGTAGCTGATGCATTAAAACAAAGGTGCAAGCTTATGTTTGGAAATTGCTATTTTTCAAGAGACATTATTGGCTACATGTCAGTGAACTTCCAATTCATCAGCATTTGATGGAGTCAGGCAGACTTTGTGAATATAGTTGAAACAAACAATACAGTTGTCTTCACTCTTTCAGTTTGCTGTCCTGGCTTGTGAGAGAAGACCACTAACTATATCATGGTGATAATCACCATAGGTTAAGAAAAGAGTGAAACACCCAAGGGATCACTAATATGAAGTGGGGGCACTTATCTATCAACTTTTTGACTTTGACAAGGTAAAGGAGCAATAGAAGGAACTCTGTTGGAATTTATTTGATAGCCAAGCCATTGCTAGCTTTTAGAAAGAGGCCACATGGAGATCATGTGGAAAATGGAAGATGTAGGCTCTTTCCCTCCTTGTCAAAGCTGCTGTCATTTCAACTAAGCTAGCCTATAAAACTATACGTTCCTAAATGGAACTGGAGGTGAGTTGGAGCCATACAGGGATTGTAATTTCCAGTGCCTTTTCCCCTTGCATAGATCTGTGTGCGTATGTATTTCAAAAGGAGGGGGGAGAGGATATATTCATTTTTGCATCTCTTAGCTAGATTCCAATTTACGCATATGAGTAATTTTAAGTGACCACGAGGTTATTGTTTAAAGGGTCCTCTGGGAAATGGGTGGGGTTCGGATACCAACCCCTTGTTCCCAATGTAAAGTTTCACTCTTTTCTTTTCCCCCCTCATGTTTTATCACTATAGACATATTCCTCTGCTATGTAGGAGGCAAACAAGATACAAACAATTGAAGGAAGAACAGTAAAGGCACATTAAGTATGCATACTTCAGTTTTAGAATTAACTATGAAGAGTCTTCTAAGTCTTCAAGAGTTATGAAAAGAGGCAAGATTCTACTTACACGCAGAGGGGGCACAGGAGCAAGCATACTACCCTTCCCCTTTGCATCACCCTCCATACACAGAGGATAAAAAGCTGTAGGAAAGAGCCTCTTCTGTATCAAGAAACTCAGGAGTCTCAACTGTGCGGAGAACCTCTATCAATAGAAGCTTTCCACTCCAATAAGTCATTATCTACATACGGAGGCTGATGTGAAGAGGGTAGGGCTTCCTGTTTCCCCTGAACATGAGTAGAATCTCACAATTCCTTATAAAGTGTAAGGAAAGCTAGAGTTAAGCCAGAGTTCA